GGAGGGTTGAACCTGCAGCTTCTCCATTTCCTGTGCAAAATAGAAAAATGGAGCATAAAACAACTTCATGAAATGACTAAAAGCATAAAACGACCATCATCTTAAATGAAGAGTTGTCTTATCAATTCAGAGGGCCCCCTGCCTGTTATCGCCAAGGGCCCCAAATTTCCTAAATCCGCCCCTGAGTACTTGGGCTTGTTTTGCAATGACCTCCTTATAATAAACCACTCTAGAGTGTAGACAGCTACAGTTTGACCCAAACGGGTCATCAGTGTAACATCGATCCCAAAGAACAGCATTGTATTCATAACAGACACACTGGAAGAGAAATAAACATTTTAAACCTGAGTTGAATGCTGTGTTTGGACCTTAAAGACACACTTCTGTACCTCCCGAACATTCAGCTTCATTTTATTCTACATTTATCAAGTTATTATTAACAGTTTTTATTAAATTAAATTGGAAATAAATGTTCGTCTGCTCGTTTTTGATTATTTTGCCTTAAACGGGGCGACGTCTTAACTCTATCTGTGTTCTGCTGCTCATGCCTGCCTGTTGTTTTCCTGGGAAGACTGTGGGAAACAGGCCATGAATGTGAAGCTCGCTTCGATTCTTGGAGCCGTGTCGTTCGGTTCTCGGTAAATGAACGGTAACATCTGGCTTTCAGACAGACAGTTGTTTTCCATTTTTAATCAGAATAAATCAAAAGCGTCTGAGATGTGTATCTAGACGGTAGATCCAGGCTCCGCTCTGACAGGATGATCCCGGTTCCTCCTTTAGGTTAGATGAAGCCTAAGCTGTCTAATCACCATCGGGCCGCCCATCCCAGCCAGCGGCTCCCTCCGCGCTGCTGGAGTCCGACCAAGAGGTAAGCTCTGGCGGCTTTCTGACGCCCACCGGCCTTTCCTACATGTTTAAACGCTCGCTGTGTTTTAATGGAGGGAGGCGGTTTCCACGCGTGTCGATGTCAGCGTCGTGTTTTGGGCCCAGCTAGCCAGAGGTGTTCCGCTGACAGCTGAGCGCGCGCGGCCTGCCTGCTCGCGCTGCTAGCTCCGTGATTGACAGCCCACCGGGCAGCTGACTGATGTCATTTTCTAGAAGCTTCTGGTCTGTTTGGACCTCAGCTCTCCATCACCATCCGCAGCGAGGCTCCTCCGTGGCCTGCTGCCCTGCTGCCGGAGCCGACAGGCGGCTGCTCCCCCTGAAGCAGCCGCCTGTCCTGGTGGGAGCCTCCCGGCCAGCAGCGCAGCCATCCGGCCAGGATCGATGCGACGTTTGCGGCTTCTTCCCACTGTGAAATATTTCCTGTCTGCCTGTTTGAGTGGATTTTATTTCACTGTTAACATCACCTCTCCAGACAGCAGCAAACACGTTCTTTATGCTTTATGGACATAAATATTAGAAATTAAATGGAGTCCAGTTGAACTATTTTCTATTCAGTTTATTTCTATAGCTCCAATTCACATCATGTCATCTCAGGTCACTTTCCAGTTCACCAGATCATCCAGTCAGATTGATTCAAAGTTTTCTATCTAAGGAAAACCAGCGGATTGCATCGACCCATTCACTCGTCCGCA